TTAATATATTTGTCAAAATAAATCTACTTGTAAATTTGTTGTAAGGTTGAAGTGAGCAGGAAGTATTACATTGCTTAATTCGTTACATTTATTTTTCATTTAAAGATTAATCACTATTACACATATAAAAATCATTATCTGTACTCAGAAAAAAGTATCCCCATAGTAGTGTATTTAAATTGTATTCAAATTACAATTGAATTTTACATCTCCAAAACTACTTCCCTAGAAAAGTAACTAAACATGGTGTTACCCCAACATCTCAGACAGATAATTACTATACAGAAGCTCCAGAAAGTACTCACAGACTATAATGATAAGAGCATCAATTCATTACATTGTACATAATAATAAACAAATATTAAATCGGTAAACAAGAGAATAAGTATTAGTATTTCAAAGAATATATACTGAATGCTAAAGAATCGAACAAAATATCCCTAGATCATTAAATTTTTATACTTTTTATCCTTCCAAGTCAGAAATTAGATTCAATATGAAAAATTGAATTTACTTAACAATTGACGATATTCAGAACTTGAATAACTATAAATCAATTCGTGACATTAGGTGCGAATAGTAACGAGTATGCTGCGTATGTATGTGGAATATTTTGTACTAAATAATGATGTATATACAATGAAGGGAGAAATAAAGAATTTAATATTATCGCAAAATTATTGAAATGTTATTAAAAGTTGTTTGTTAAACATTTTATTATTCATTAACATTTAATTCTACTTAAGTCTCAAATTTATGATAATGTTATTGGAAGCTTTTTATTTATATAATTAGTAATATTCTAAAATATATAAAAAGTTATTAAAAGTATGATTAATTAAAATACATCAAAATATTTGGAACAATATTGTATACACTTTTATTCAATAAAAAGTATTTAAATGATTTTAAATAATGTTAAATCATATAATATTCAATAAAGTTTTACGATAAATGTAATTATTCAAATACAAAATTAAACATAAATATTTAGTCTGCATAATGTATATTAGATGATTT